CGGCGCAGGGATCGGCGCAGGAGAGCGGGGATCGCCTCTCCAGGGAGAAGAGGGAGATGGAAACACTGCCCAGCGCCACGGAGCGGGTCGGGAATGGAGGAATCGTGGAATTTGTGTTGGATGGAAAAGGCTCCGAGCCCAGCGCTGCTCGTGGCACTGCCGAGGCCACCGCAGGCCGTGAACGCGCGCCCATCACCGACCCCCGGGCACTCCGGCCGCAGCTGGGCAGCCCTTTCCAGGAAGGAATATCCCGATTTCCCAATTTCCCAATTCCAACCTCCCCCGAGGCCGTTTCCCCCGGGAGCAGGACCCGCCCTGACCCGGCCGTGCCGCCGCGGTGTCCCCAGGCTGTCCTCGGGGACGCGCTGGGATGGAGCCGGGGCCGCGGGAGATGAACCAGACGATTTATTAACAGCAGGACCGGGATGGGGAGGGGGCGGGAGGGGTCCGGGGGTGGGGACAGGCAGGGCTGGTGGCCTGGGGGGGGTCGGGGAGTGGCTCCGTGAGGGGAGCGTGGCTCAGAGCAGGAGGGTCTGAGGGTGCTCGGGGGCTCTGGGGACACACGGGGACAGTGGCTCCGGGTGGCTGGGGAGGCAGGGACCGCGGCTCGGGGGTCTGCAGTGCCACCACCGCCCCTGCCCGCGCTGCCCGAGCGGGGACGGGGAGGGGACAGGACACGGGGGAGGGGGCTCCAAAGTGCTTCCAGTCCGCGTTCAACGCAAGGGGGGGAACCGTGATCACGGTGGGGAGGAGCGGGGGGGCCCCGCGGGGCAGGAACCGCCGGGGAACGCGATGAGAGAACAAAACCGGCTACGGGGAGGGGGTCCCGAGCGGGGGGGGGGGGCGGGCCGGGGTTACTCCTTGGCCCTGCCGATGATGGCGAGGATGTAGAGGAAGATGTTGATGATGTCGGTGTAGAGGTTGAGCGCGGCGAAGATGTATTCCTCGGGGCTCAGCGCCAGCTGCTTGTTCCCCAGGATCAGCTGCGTGTCCACCGCCAGGAACTGCGGGACGGAGCAGTGCTGGGGGGCGCCGGGAGCTGCCCCCCGCCCCGAACCGGCCGGGCACCCCCCCTGCACCCCCCAGCCCAGGGGACACCCCCATGCTGTGTGTGCCCACCGAGCTGGAGCAGCCAGGGGTGCTGGGGCACTGCCCCCCTAAACCTAACCCCAACCCTAAACTGGGGACCCCGGCACTGCCCCCCTAATCCCAACCCTAACCCCGAACCCCTAAAATCAACCTGGGGGACCCTGGAACTGTCCCCCTAACCCCAACCCTAACCCCTAACCCCAAACTGGGGACCCCGGCACTGCCCCCCTAACCCCAACCCCAACCCTGAACCCCTAAACCCAACCTGGGGGACCCTGGAACTGTCCCCCTAACCCCAACCCTTAAACCCAACCTGGGGACCCCAGCACTGTCCCCCTAACCCCAACCCTAACCCCAACCCCTAACCCCAACCTGAGGACCCTGGAACTGTCCCCCTAAACCCAAACTGGGGACCCTGGCACTGCCCCCCTAACCCCAACCCCAACCCCAACCCCTAAACCCAACCTGCGGACCCTGGAACTGTCCCCCTAACCCCAACCCCAATCTGGGGACCCTGGCACTGCCCCCCAGCACCTGGGGACCCGGGAACTGCCCCCCAAAGCACCTGGGGACCCCAGCACTGCCCCCCTAACCCTAACCCCAACCCCCAAACCCAACCTGGGGACCCCAGCACTGCCCCCCAAAGCACTTGGGGACCCCAGCACTGCCCCCCTAACCCCAACCCCCAACCCCTAAACCCAACCTGGGGACCCTGAACAGCCCCTGGGGACCCCAGCAGTGCCCCCCAGCCCCCGGGGACCCCGCCCCTC